TGATGTGATGGGCCGGTACGCAAACAGTCGCTGGTTCGAATCTAGTCGAAGGAACTCTTTTTCCCCTCTGCCAGCCATATGTGTCAGGGTGTGAGCAATAGCGGAGATAAGCTCCACCTCTACAAAAGTCTCATCATTGGCTCAGTTGGTAGAGCGCGAGCCCGGGACGCGGATGGTCGTGGGTTCGAATACTGATCGAAGTTCACTTTTTCCCATTTAGTAGTTTGCGGCGCGGGGACTAAGGGTTATGACAAAAGACCAGCCGACATGGGAAGGTGGACTTGACCGCCTACTCAGCAGCCCCCGCCGCCCTTGCCAAAAAAAAAATCAAAAAGTTCGCCCGGGCCAGGACTCGACCCCAGGGCCGACGGTGTCTTGTGCACCACGCCCCAGCGTGCTCGCCACTCGGCTGTCGGCTCCACGGGAGAGCAGTGAGTTCGGGATTCGGTCCTGTTTTACGAGTCTTGTTCTCCTGGATTGCACGCGTCCACGGCGGGTCAAGTCCACCTCCTCGACGCGCTGAAGCCCGGGTCGACTCCTGGCCAGAAACAAGGAAAATAGCCACTAAAAGAGCCCCATAATCGCGAGGAGGTTAGGTTAGGCTAGCAGAGAGTACATTTATTTGCCTTTTTGCAAGGATTTCGACCCGGGCTGCAGCGCGTCGAGGAGGTGGACTTGACCCGACCCGGACTCGTGCAATGCGGCAAATCAAGACCATTAAAGCAGGACCGAGTTCTGAACGTTCCGTCCACAGGAGCAGGCGACAGCTGAGTGGCGAGCCCGCTGGGGTGTGGTCCGGAAACCGTCGGTCCAGGGATCGAATCCCGGCCGCGGAACTTTTTTTCCGCTCTGTTGGTTCGCTACCGGCGACATGCGCATCTCGACTGTCGCTGACTCCCGCAGCCATGGCTAACAAAGCGGAAAAAAAAGTTTCGCGGCCGGGATTCGATCCCTGGACCGACGGTTTCCGGACCACACCCCAGCGGGCTCGCCACTCAGCTGTCGCCTGCTCCTGTGGACGGAACGGTCAGAACTCGGTCCTGCTTTAATGGTCTTGATTTGCCGCATTGCACGAGTCCGGGTCGGGTCAAGTCCACCTCCTCGACGCGCTGCAGCCCGGGTCGAAATCCTTGCAAAAAGGCAAATAAATGTACTCTCTGCTAGCCTAACCTAACCTCCTCGCGATTATGGGGCTCTTTTAGTGGCTATTTTCCTTGTTTCTGGCCAGGAGTCGACCCGGGCTTCAGCGCGTCGAGGAGGTGGACTTGACCCGCCGTGGACGCGTGCAATCCAGGAGAACAAGACTCGTAAAACAGGACCGAATCCCGAACTCACTGCTCTCCAGTGGAGCCGACAGCCGAGTGGCGAGCACGCTGGGGCGTGGTGCACAAGACACCGTCGGCCCTGGGGTCGAGTCCTGGCCCGGGCGAACTTTTTGATTTTTTTTTTTGGCAAGGGGGGCGGGGGCTGCTGAGTAGGCGGTCAAGTCCACCTTCCCATGTCGGCTGGTCTTTTGTCATCACCCTTAGTCCCCGCGCCGCAAACTACTAAATGGGAAAAAGTGAACTTCGATCAGTATTCGAACCCACGACCATCCGCGTCCCGGGCTCGCGCTCTACCAACTGAGCCAATGATGAGACTTTTGTAGAGGTGGAGCTTATCTCCGCTATTGCTCACACCCTTACACATATGGCTGGCAGAGGGGAAAAAGAGTTCCGTCGACTAGATTCGAACCAGCGACTGTTTGCGTACCGGCCCATCCCATCACATCAGGTGTCGCGCGGCTGTAAAGTCATGGCCAGCGGAGCGCGAAAATTATCACCCGGCCGAGATCCGAACCAGCGACCAGGTTCATACCGGGCCCGGACGCTACCGACTTGGCCACGACGGAACAATACAGAGTACTACTTTCAGCGGCATCTTGATCCAAGCTGTGACCGACGCCCGAAGACACTTGGCCAGCAGAGCAGGGAAAAATGACCGGGGATGGGATTCGAACTACCGACCACCCGCACGGTCTGCCAACGATCGCGCTCTAACACGCTCAGCTACCAGCGTGCTCCTCCTGTGCTCCATTGGAGGAAGTAATGAATTCGTCTATAGACGGTTCAGTTTCAGCTGACTCGGGCACTGTCGGCTACAATCGTAGTACAAACAGGGACGTGATTCATTCGGCATATAACGATAGCTGGGCGCCTGCGAGACAGGGTAGGCAACCCAACAGTACATACGTGCACTGCAGTCAAGATTCTGCCTACCTATCAGGTTTTATGAGAGCTTTCACAGGCTCAACTGCGCATTTTTATACCCGCCAATGACCGGCGTTCCCTCTGGATGATTTAGTAAAGCGCGAGCTCGTTTTAAAATTACCAATTTTTATGACACGTTAGTTTTTTGTATGAATAGAAAATCAACATTCAACACTGTACTCATTTTTTTACTTTAATTAGAAATGAGATTCATGTACACAGTAATGGCAAAAGAACACAAGGTATGACAATATGAATTCCAGTTTTAAGATGAAGTCAACAAAAATAAGAGCTCATCTTTGACGAGCAAATAATATCTGAAATGTATTTATTCACAGATCTATTTATCACAAATGTAATTGAAACAGATTTCAATGAGTACTTTAAGTACCAGGCAACTGTGATTAAATTATTATATTTTTATATAATTTTTTTATCTTTTGAAATGATAAATGGTATGCTCTTGACTTTCTGTTTGATGTCAAATCACTATCATGAAAATTAGCGCCTGGTTGGCCATATCTTAAAACCTATGAATGCAGCTTCATCCTTAGGATATCATGTACAAAGAAATGGGACTGGCAAGTTTATACTAACAATAAGTTAGTCTCCAATCCTTTGTACCTCAAAATTCTATCTTCTTGCATCCTTGTCAGTGTGATGCATGGCAAATGGCTTATGGGTACATTGTACATTTCTAGGAAATGCAATTGTGCTACATTGAATTCTACTATGTGTTACCCAAAGAAGATAGATACTTAATGATCATAAAAAGGTGACTTAATATCCAGCAGACGGAACGTCAAGACATGGTTGGTTAAATTACTAACTATTTATTATTATAAATTCTACTCTTCAATGCAATTTTTAATTTTTTGCAGAATTAACTTTGATCGATCTTGTGCAGCCTAAAGATAAGCAGACTTGTTTTATCTGGAAATAGTAAAAATGAAGAGGGAGATCTTTAACTGAATATACTTGATACCTGGTCTACAATAAGTTGTAACATATAGTCATATGTCAGAAGAGATTGCATGGGCTATATACTGAGCGATATAAGTCTAATATACACCTTGGATACAACATATTGTAGACCGGGCAGTAGTAAAACAGTTCTAGTTCCCCTAGAATAATTTATCTCAGGTAAAAAAAGTTCAGCTGATAATACTGGCTCAGGTCTAACTGTGGATTACACAAACGATCCATTCGATTAGGCTTGAACACAACAGTCAATCAGACATTTAATCCTTTTCCTCAACGATTTAGAATTATTACTTAGCTTTCATAATAGTCCGACAGAAAATGGAAAACATTCTGAGCGGTTACTTTCACACACACAGCTTCAAGTACAAGTTTCATCAATAAACTAAAATTAACTTAGATCTATTAATTTTTTATACAATGTGTCATAATAAAATAAATTTCTGTCTGATCTTAGATACAGAAAAGTAACGAAATTCATAAAAAAATGTAATAAAAGACCAGTTGCATTGCACACCACCATAAAAAAATTAACATGAATTTGCAATTACAGCAACAATAAACAATAATCTGTGGATTTTGTATCAAACGAGATCTGATTAAAACTATCAACAAAAACACAACCTATTCTGAGGCAAAACAAAATAATTTTAAGCTCAAAGTCTCCTTCTCTTACATAATGGACGGACTTGCGGAATGTTCATAAACACAATCATATCATAACTCTTGCATAAATCAAAACACACCAACATTTTAAACATACTCTTCTCCAGCCAGAGCTACTTTTCCTCTCAGTGAGCTGATGCATCCGCCTTTACTGCATATCTGATTTAAGTGTCAAAACAGCGACCTGGAAAACACAAGAAAGAGTTATTAAGGTTCTATTTGCTTATCAAAAATTTTAGGTAAAGTTTACTTTTCGTTTTTCTCGATTTTTTTAAAATTTACCTAATGTGTTCATCGTCTGTCAGCCAGGACACCGAGGGCGAGCACTGCGGCCAAGAGGGTGGCCACGAGTGCCATGGGCGCAGAGGCAGCAGTGGCTGCGTTGTAGCGGCCGTAGTACCCCCTACTGCCATAGGGCTGGCTGCCGTACGCTCCACCACCGGCTGGGTCGAAGCTGGACGGCTGGCGGTAGTTGGGGTCGTACAGGTTGTTGTTGGGGTCGTCATAACGTTGTCCTGAAACATTCCATGGATAGGGTCAGACACCGCCCTTTCAACGAGTGGCCCGTGGTTTAACGTGGCGCTCTGGTGAATTGCTGGTAAAGGCTTACTGATTAAGCTAAGAATAAGCCAAATGGTGTTACACGTGTTACAGTGATCAAAGAAGACGCGAGTCTTCACATAAAAGACATAAAAATCCCAAACACAAACATAGATAGCAAAGCCTTTGGTGGGCATCCCGTTTTCCGGGCAGGCACACTCACTCACACAAACACTCCCCATCCACAATTCTCTCAATTCCACTAAGAAAGAGAAAACATACAGACCAAAGCACTAGAAATGCAAACTAAACACTACTGACAAAAAGGGTTAGAAAAAACAGAGGGAATTACCCCGCCCTGATGAGTGCCATCTACAAAAAATAAACCAAAAATCTCTGCGCAGCTTCTTACAAAAAAATGTATACGTTTTAGACCATTTGCTTCCCAGAATATGCATTTTCAGAAAAAAATATATGAGAAGAGTTAAGAGAGATTTGAATTGAAAATGCTGGATCACAACCGTTCATGCTAAAAACAGTCTCCCGTCACAATTATGAAATTGAGACACCCAGACATCCAATAACACGACGGAAATATCAAGTAATTTGAAGGCGTACGACACAAAACAGTCCAAATCAGTCACGTTCACTCCGAGAACACGTAAGCCGCTACGCAGTCGCTACCCGCTGGGCAACACCCCACCCTGTGGGTGGAACCCAGCCAAGTGCGAATCAAGTACCGTCCACATCGTAGCTCGTCGGCTGTTTGTAGTTGGGATCATACTGGTCTTTGTTCGCATCGTCCAAGTACCAAGCTCCTGAAACATGCACAACACAGGGCACTCTCAAACACCGTCCTCTCCTCCAGTGCGATCCCCTCGCCCGCGAGCCGCGTGCACCCCGACCCCTCCCGCAGTGGTGCAACCAGAGCTGGGCCTTGGTGAGGGAGGCGGGGGTTCCCCCCGGGGGAGAGGCGCTACCGCCACCGTGCAGGCCGACGACGGGCACTACCTCCATGATAGTGGCGGACCACCGTGTTCCCCGAGCTGTCGACGGAGGAGCTCACGCCCTCCCAGTGAGCCGCCCCCGGCGGCGACGCGTACGCCCCCGAGGCAGCGAGGTGGGCGCCGCCCCCGCCGGGGGCGTTCCAGGCGCGCTGCGCCGCGTCCCAGGTCTGGTGCGTGGTCTTGGAGATGTCGTCCAGGAAGCGGCGGGCGTCATCGCAAAGCCCGTCGGGGCGGACGGAGCCCATGCCGAGGCAGCGGTTGCCCTGAGGCGTGTTGTACGGGTACGGCGCCCCCGGGTACGGCTGCTGCGGGGAGGGGGTGTACGAGGGGTACTGGTACTGCGGGG